GTGTGTGTGTGTGTGTGTGTGTGTGTGTGTGTGTGTGTGTGTGTGATGTGCTTGTAACTGATTGTGATTAGGTAAGTGTTTTCATTGATAGCAGTGTGGACAAAGAGAGCCAGAGAGAGATGGAAGAGAAGGGCTCTAGAAAAATCAATGGAAGAGGCAGAGAGGGTTGGGGGGTGTTGTGGGAGCAGGTGGTCTTCAGGATATCACATTTTCTGTTTTGGTGTCACGCTGCATAAMCTGAAAGTGTCCTTGTGCACGTTCGTTTCTCCAATCAAGCTTCCTCTCTGTGCTTTGAGAACCACTTCCAGAGTCGCCCCACTCTGTACGCTCTGCACATTTAAATCTGGGCTTAAAAATATGTTTTTATTTCCTTATAGGATTTTATGAAACATAGTATTTTTTTCATGTTTGTAAGACAAACACACCTGTGAACAACCAGGTTTAACACAGCCGTTAAAAGTAAAGAGTTTGGCAAATTTATTTCATTTTTAAAAGTCTTTTCTCCCACAAAAGTACTTAGACTCTAAACCTCTTTTTTATTTTAAATTACCTTGTTTTTTTTATTTTATTGCTTTGTGTGTTTTTGCTGCTTTTGTCTCTTTTCTGTCTAAAATCGCCTGTGTGACCTTGGCCATGAATTCTTTTGAAATTTAATTTCCAGCATTTTTGGAAGCAAATGCMAAAGTTTTTAAGCAAAGTGTGTGTGAAGGCTGACTCTTACCTACTATCACATCAAATTTTATCTCAGTATCTGTAAAAGTGATGTTTTCATAACTGTGTTTAAGCTGATGGTGGAGATCTAAAAAAACCCCTCTTCCTCCATTTCCTCCCTGGCAGTGGTCGGTGTACATCCGGGCAGCTGTCCGCAAAGAGAAAGGCCTTCCAATCCTGGTGGAGTTACTGAGGATAGACAACGACAAAGTGGTGTGTGCTGTCGCCACCGCTCTCAGAAACATGGCGCTGGACATCAGAAACAAGGAACTTATTGGTGAGTAGTGATCTACTTATTTTTTATTTTTTATTTTTTGGTTTATGATCAAATCTGAAAATAAAAACACAAAGCCGAACATTTTTCTAATAATCTCTAAATGCTTTGTACCTTTTACTCACAAGACAAATGTATTCTTTGCTATATATGATWTAAAAATAAATTGCTTTTCATAACTAAAGAAATTAGCATATYCTGTAAAAATGCTAATGGACCGCTTTTTTCTAGCCAGCTAGAATACTCAAACCACATTACACCATGATGTACCCATCACTTCACTACAGCTCTACAAAGCTAATCTGAATAAATCATCCTGTAGAATCTAATCAGAGCTTTACATCACATTCATGCAMTGATGGMACACGTTGGAGGCAATGAGGGATTCAGGACCTTTCCCTTTGACATGTTGCTGTAAACTGGTGGATTTAAACCCCCAACTTTCTTCTTTGGAGAACGACTGCTCTAACCATCGGCTGTGTCTCAATTAATCGGTTGTAACCAATGCTGGCCACAGTCTACGTGGGATGTAGGTTGCTCGTGTCAGCTGCATAAATGCTTGTGAAATGAGATGGTCTTGTTTGACCATGCTCTGCCTCGTTATCATGGTGATATGGTTTAAATCACATCGCTTCAGTTGTTTATTTTCAAGGTATAACTTAACAAAATTCAGTTTTAATAGAGAAATGTTACAAATAAATAAATAAAAAGCATTAATAATCTGGGTTTAGTTTCAGTATCAGTACTTGTAACTGCATTTTATTTAACGTCTGATTGCAATAGGTTTCCTTAGTTGAACTTACATTTTTCAGTCTGTGATAAATTTCCAAACTCCATCATAAAAAAAAAAAAACAATGCCATCTTTGCTGATGGCGCAATGAATTCTGGGATACTATCGGCCATGTAGGATGCTCAGAAGCAGCCCACGTTTTCTGGGTTTTGTCGGCCTCGTGAGTAGGCACCTACGAATTGGGACAGCCTCTGTTCGRGGTAGTGACGTAAGCGGCCGATGAATGCRGACTAYGTYGGCTGCAACCCATGAATTGAGACACAGCCACTGAGCTACAGCTGTCCCTCAATGCTGAGCTCTGAAGGTGCTGAAATGTATTGAAAAAACTGAAACTGAATTGTGCCATAATTGCAAAAACTGTAAAGAATTTGTATTCTTTTTTTTACWTAATTATCTTGAAAAGGATAAGTCTAAGCAATTCTTTGATATACAGCATGAATGAATGAGAGTGGATGTATGATCGCAAAAAAAGTGTTCACAACAAACTATAAACAGGAAAACTATTGAGTGAATGGCTCTGATTTCACACAATTATGACACTTATTTTTCATTTGTTTGTTTCATTTGTTATTTATGTTGATTAGAGCATACTCGTATTGCACAATAATTGGTTTAACAGCAGCTAAATATGTTTTTTGGTGTGTGTGTGTGTGWGAGACTGGGATTATTAAAAGTGGTGCAGTGCCAGCTGTGAGTTCAGGGAATAATGTGGATCTCGTGTAACTCGGAGAGAAAAGCTGAAGAGAGTGTAGAGAAGCCTGCAGATCAAAGACTTCCATTGGTCTTTGAAATGCTGCTAATGAGTGAGCTCCAGTCAGTCTGCTAGAATCAACACATCTGAGGATTGGAGATCATTAGCTAACTTGACTCATATATTGYGTATGTGTGCAATTGGTTTGTGTCTACAAGTGTGTTTATGTACGAGGGGCTTCCTGTCTCTCTGCCGCCGTGGCCTCGGTGCCACTTCAGCGGCGTTAACAGGTCAGCTGAATCCAGAAACATCAGACTACTCACACGCACGGATGGTTCTGTGTGTGTGAAACACCGTAACACGCCACTATCTCTGATCAACGCAGCTTCTTGGTGGGCTCGGTGGTTTCTATAGCAACCCTGGCGCCCTCCGCTTCATGCTGGAGGCGTCTGAAACGTATCTCAGTTTTGCAGCGAGTTGTTGTTGTTTCTTCTTGCGGAACAAGAAGGAAACCTGCCGCCAAAGCGTAACACACACACACACACACACACACACACACACACACACTACTATGGTCTGGCTGACACACAGCAACAGATTAAAGAATAATTATAGAGCCTTTGTGCAGGCGCTTTAAACAACAACATAATATTTAGCATAATTTGAAATCAAAGTTTGTCATTTAAAGGCTTATCATTTTTTGTATATTGATTTTTTTTTTAAATAACAGCATTTTATGTTTCTGTTAAAACTTGAAAACCAAGGTAAGCCAAAGTCAAGCAAGAGTGTGAGATGTCACACTCAAATATGGAGGACCAAAACTGTCATAATTAAAAATAAAAGCAGAAATATATAAATGGACCATTAAATAAATAAATAAATACATTTAAAATGCATCAATTAAATAAAAAAGGAGAACGTTACCTGTGCCTTTATTGTTAACTAAACTTTAAAGTTTAAGCTAAACTGATGCTTCGCAAGCATGCACAGTAGATCTATGTACTTTTTAGTACATATGTTGTTAAAATAAAATAAAAAAATACCAATACAACAGTCAAATGATCATTTTACTGATATGTATAAAGACTGCAAAGGCTGAAAAATCCTGAAGGAGGTAGTATGAGAATTTAATTTGTTATGCTTTTTAAGCTAAAAATGGGGGGGCCGTATTATACATGAAATCGTATAACACACAAATAAATATGGTAATAATTTAAGAGACGCAAATGCATTTACAAGGAAAAGAAAAACAAAAAGTACATATTTTTAAAAACAATAAAATGTAAATTATGTGCTAAAATATACAATTTATTGAAACCAAAAATAAATATGGTCAATTAAATTATAAAACATGAGGTAAAGTTTTTAATTTAATTAGTACATTTTAAGTGTATTTATTCATTTATTAGTCAATTTATATATCTCTGTTTTATTTCTAATTATGACAGTTTCAGTCCTCCATACAAAAACATGTGAATGACTTGTGAGTGAGTTACTACTAATACGTGAAATTTTACCTCARTATCTGCAAAACTGACTGATTTATAGCCATTCTTGTTTTGACTATGATGGTAATCAACTTGAACTAGATTGACTCCAAAACTTTATCTGTTGTGGGTGTACAACCAAATACTTATTTTTCTGTTTTCTGTTAGCATAAAATGTGTTTTTCAGGTGACCTTTTCAAAAAGTCAAACATTTCCTGTTTATAAGTGCTGCACAGTTTTGATGTGTTTTGGTTCTTCATTGCCATTAACCACTTTCCAGAACAAAGATGAGGTAGACACTTTAATGGATTTGTACACAAAAAGGAGAAAGCGGGAACCAACTGAACAACATCTAATGACTTGCAAATTGACAAAATTAAAACAACTCAGACAGGTTTAGCATTTTAAGTTAAACTGTAGTAAACGTATTTGCAGAGCGGCGTGCGTTTTGTGGGAAGATTTCTCTGAGAAATGCGCCGATTAGTTTAAAAAGCAAGACATGAATCATCATTTTATATAAWACTTTTAAAGCAACTTGTAACTAAGGGTTTACAGCGAGCGTGAGGGTTTGAATCAACCCTATTTAGAACATCTCAAACACRTGTGAGCAACAAAGAGCTGTGAAACTTCCCGTTTAATCGTCTTTTCACACTCCAACAGCAGAAGATAGCCGATTCTCATTTCAAGCTTCCTTTAGTACAAATTCACTTTGATAAGTACAATTGCCCATGTGTCACTACAGAGACTTATTTTGCTCCACTCTAATTATTCCAGTTAAAGCTAAGACATTATGCTCTTAACACTGCGGTGAGCTCTGCTCTATGCTTTGTAGAGATCAGTGAGACGGCTGAAGCTCAACTGCATGACTGTTTCTCAGAACAGCTCTTAAGATTTTCACTTGTAATTAACCCACAGCTTCTCTAACAACACGATCTGAGCAGCTGAGCTGTAAACATAAACAACAAACAGGAAGTCCTTGTAGGTCGTATACCCAAAACAAGAGAAACTGTATGTTTTTTTTTTCAAAATGTTGAGAACCAAATCACTTCTCAAAGTATGAATTGTTAACTAAATTGTTTCAAGTAAAAAAAAAAAAAAAACAGCCAAGCAGAACAGAAGCTAAAATTAGCAAGAAAGTAGCTAAAGGCAAAAAGAAGCATATGAAGACAAACATGGAGCAAGATGGCTGAAGATTTCAGTCAACGATGCTTTGAAAGGAACTACAGAGTTCTCTGTTTTTCCAATTTAACACATTATTCCCATCTGAGCTTAATCGTGTGATGTACGAATGATTAAATTAACACAAAGTATGTGAAAGTAGCTTGAGTGTGAAAAATGCACAGGGAAAACTATTAAGAGGAAAACAGTAGTTTAAATGCTGGCTCAACATTCAGATAATTATATGAACTTGACTGTTTTAAACCTGCAATAACCAGAATTAGGCCAGTGGTAGAGAAATTATWTTTTTTTTTTGCTTGAAGTGGCTCAAGTTAAAGACTGTTTTGGAAGACAGATTTTTTTTCTTTTTGTAAAGCTATTAACCAAAGAACGAGGTTTATTCAGGTAATAAAAGTGAAAAAAATCACTCAGCTTAGAAGAAGTTTAATCAGGATTTTATTACAGTTAAATGAAAATGTAATTCACAGTGAGAGAGGACAGCTCTGTCTGTTAAARTGGGGTCATTATGTATTTTGCAGGCACATGGTTCAGTTCTCTACCACAATCAAGCAACTATGTTACCTTCAGTTGTTGTGAAAAAACTGTTTATATCAAAACAATAATGTTTTGAAATTGGCCTCTGTCTTTTTGAGAACCTCCTACCGTTTCAGACACTCCCACTTCAGCACATCTTCACATCAATGCTTCTGGAGGGGTGCTCTGCAGGATGTACATCATTTACAATGTTTCAACCACTAATTCTATTCTAACGCTGAAAGGAGTGTTGAGTTACAGCAGATTATTTTACATGGCAGAAAGCTAATCTTCAAAGTCACCATTTAAAGTTTTAAGTTAGTGTCATTTTGCTGTGTAATT